ATTAAGATAATAATACATTAATTTTTTGGTATTTTGCAATCAAAATTTTCAATAGTGAAATGTTTAGTAATACATGCGTGGATAAATTTGCCAAGTAAAAGCTGGCCTAATGTATTTATCAAGCAAAACCATCAAAATAAAGTAGCGCTAAATCACACGACAGTCACGTGATTTCAATTACCTGATTGAGTGACTCCAGAGTGAAGTACATGGCAGAGCAGGAGGTGGAGAGAGGAAGGTATTGCTGGGAGACTCAGTCAACTTCAGCCATTACAGTATCAGTCTCCTCCATCTTCCTCTGAACTTCTGCAGCCTCTTCCTTAAGAGTCTCAAGCTCAGTAATGATTCTAAAAATAGACACAACAAAGATTACATCATGTAATAATTGTACTATATTTAGATGTATTGTTACAATTATTAGTGATGATTCTAAAAATAAACACATTAATGATTACATCATGTAATAGTTGTTACTATATTTGAATGTGTTGTTACTATAATTAGAAGTTACTACATGTATAATTAGAATTGGGGATACCTGTTGTCGTCTAGGATAGGACAGAGTTCAGGATTGGGTCGTAGCTCTCAACGTCCTAGAGGGATTGAGTATGAGATAATGAGAGTGTTTCCTGACAGGGTTCTTAGTTCTAAAAAAATCCAAAAATATTCCGACGCTGTTGGAAAAAATTCAGAAAAAATTCCAAAAATAAAAATAAAATAATTCAAAAATATTTCCATGATCTCGTAAAAAAATCAGAAAAAAATTTCAAAAATAAAACAAAAATATTCCAAAAATAATATAACAATCATAATAAAAAAATTAAAAAAATTACAAAAATTAAATTAAAAAATATAAAATATTCTTAGGCTGTTTGAAAAAAAATCAGAAAAAAATCGAAAAATAATATAAAAATAATTTGAAAATATTTCCACAAAAATCTGAAAAAATTCCAAAAATTAAATTTAAGAAAGCTAAAAATATTCCCACGCTCTCTGAAAAAATCAGAAAAATTTTCAAAAAATATAATAAAACTATTCTGAAAATATTTCCATGCTCGGAAAAAAATCATAAAAAATTCTAAAAATTAAATTAAAAAAATCCAAATAAATTCCCACACTCCTTAAAAAATTTTTTTTAATTCAAAAAATAAAATAAAAAAATTCAAAAATACTCTCACAGTCATGAGAAAAAATAAAAAAAAAAATTCCAAAAATTAAATACAAAAAATCCAAAAATATTCCCACGCTCTTGGAAAAAATAAGAAAAAATTAACTCAAACTTTATACACAACATAAGGACAAGTACGTGTATATGTATCAGAAAATATTATAAAAACTGAGAATTCTCTTCTTTTTAATTTTGGCAAAATTTAGCTAACACACCCCTGTACTATAGTACAGGGAATTTGACCCGATTTTTGAGCAACTTTAAAAATTCATAAAAAATCCAAATTTAATCGGAATCAGCTTAAACTTTATACACAACAAAAGAACATGTACAGTGTATATGCATCACTAAATTCCATATACACAATTAAAATCAGACTTTAATTAAAACACTCCTCTCTCTCTCTCTCTTACCTGAGCAATGACCCACTTCACCAAAGACCCACAGCCTTATTGGCGTGATTCTCCATCTTAATCCTAGTGTCATCAGTAATATCTTCAGTAGAGAAGTTAGCAATGGTAGGAATAAAGTTCTCCTTCATTATAATCTGTCTGATACTCTTCCAGTCAGTGTAAGGTTCTCCGATTAGCATGCAGATGCTTTCCAGTGCCATCTTGATGAACTGATGGGGTTGTTCAGAGCCCTCACTTCAACCAGGTGGGATTCTTAATTCCCTTCACAGCTGTAAAAAGAAATAGCAATAATAATAATAATAATAATAATAATAATAATAATAATAATAATAATAATAATAATATAATAATAATAATAATTTCTTAATACATGTATAGTTTCCTTGTTTTATTTTTATTTTATTTTTTCCTCATAGGGCCTTCCCTCTCCTTTCCCTTTTTTGTTTTTCTCTATTATTAGCTCTAATTAGTTTTTGTTTTTGGGTTATAATAATAATAATAATAATAATAATAATAATAATATTGTAAAATAATTTTATTGGGCTGTCATGAAAATTTTTGCTCCCTCAGTTAAAAATGAATTGGCTCATCATCGTAATTATGAAGACCGTCAGGATGTGTTCATCATTGGAAACAGGCCACGCCTACAACCACACCCACTAATTACCTTGCTGAGCCTTTTTGACTGCTGGTTCCACTTTGGACAAATCGTTGAGTACAATGTCCTTCTTTTGAGCAATATCATGAGTTTGAACCTTCAAAAAAAAATAAATAAATTACACAAATTTAAGCAATAATTAAATTTATTTTCTTTCAACGTACATGGTGTACATTTACGTGTATATAAGTATATAAAATATATAATAATTTATAATCATAAATCATAATTTTCTCTCAGTGTACATGTACTGTACATGTATATATAATTAATCTGTCTCATCAATTCAATACTAAGAAGACTGTCATGATATACTCATCATTGATAAAACAAGCCACACCCCTAACCACACTCACCTGTACATGTACATGTATCTCCTATGACGTTATCTTCTTTTTCTCGGCCTCTTGCTGATTGTGAACCATCTGTTTCAGTTTCTGGTTAGCTAGCATGTTCTTTTGTTTTAGCTCATTTTTCTTATAGGGAGGCTGGCTTGTAACTCTTTCTACTTGTTGTACAGTTTCTTGTATTTTTTGGAGTCCAATGTTTAAATGTAACTGCTGTTCTTCAAGATCTTGTCTCTTCTCATTGTAGAGTTTAACCTAAAAGACAAAAAAAAGGTACAGGTAATAGCAAAAAGTTAATACATTATAGCCTCTTTATGATGGACACTTTGGTACAAGAAAGTTTCTCTGTTATACAGAGGTGACCTTTATGTGGAGATTATTTTATACAGTAAGGAATGTAATTGGTACACTAGGTGCTGTCCGTTAAATGGAGGTATACGCTATAGAGAGTCTCTGTAAACAAGCGTATCAGTGTAAAAAATATTCCTATAATTGATTTCACAACCTTGCAGGAATAACTGGATTTTATTAAGACTTATAGAGGCTCTCTCTACCTTCTAATGCTTCTAAAGAAGTCTTTAGACAGTATCTCTATGCTCTCTTGCTGTTAGAAAGCTCTTCACTTTGTCCCATGTTTAAGCCGCTATTTTATTTGCCGTGACCACACCCACTACGTAAAGGAGCATGGGCGGGTGGTTGCTAAGGCTTATGAATTTTGTTATTTCTCCAATACAACATGTATAGAAGAAATGTAAGTGTGGACATACAAATATATATACAAACATCGCACGTGGGTGAAATCAATTATAGGAACGACCTGGGGGCTACGCCCCCAGGTCGTTAAAAAGAGGCTAAACTGTATCATTGATCAAGAATCAAATCAAATCAAATTGATCAAATCACTGATTCCAGTCACTCACATAATGATTGATGGAATCAAGATAGTGTCTTGGAATTATGGCCATTGTCCTCCCTCTTCTCTTCTGTAGGCTAGTGTTAGCTTGATAGAGTATCTGATGAACGTATACAAAAGCATTAATGATGGACTGTCTGTGGGTAGGAGGCATGGGAAGATCAGGATATACCACTGGGACCCTATCAGGAGGAATATACTGGAGGAGGAGAGAGAGAGAGAGAGAGATGAAATACATGTACATGTATACATAAATTGAAAAAATAACATAAAATCATGCCCATAAATGTACATGTACATGCTTAAGTAACATAAACATTATAAGCTCTTTGAAACTTATACATGCATACACTGTATATTCTTGGATTATACATTTTATATATTCAAGTACATGTATATCAGTGTACATACTGTATATTTGTACATGAACTTACGTCTGATTTATCAAGATCAACTTTATTAGTAAACTCATATCCAACTTGATACAGAGCATCAGTGGACCAATCACCAAACCAGTTCAACACACAACGATTGAATAAAGCAGGAGAGGTAGCAGCTCTGTCTTTAAGACCCTCCCATGAAGGATTGATAGTGAATACTATGTGAAGGTTCTCATTATCTGATGGGTGAACCATTTGTAGAGTTCTTGAGAGGAATCAAGCATCAGTCCTTCCTTTTGTGACCCCTCCTTGCACTGGGTCATGAGAGTTGTAAATTCATCAGCTTCAAATAATCCAGGACCCTGTGATGGGGGGCAACTAAAATTATGTATATGTTATTGCACCCCTGCGAGTGCAATATCCAATTTACAAGCACCGAGCCCGAGGGCAAGGTGCTTGTAATTCGGATATTGCACAAGCATGGGTGTAATAACAAATTTATATCCAATTGAAGCTATACGGTACACGCACTGCGCATGCGCAAAGCAATTTTACACGTGGCAAGTACCTGACAAGTAAGTATAGCTTGAGTGGGAAATAAATTAGAATTACATGCATATGTACATGTGCATGTACTGTACATGGATTCTTAGTATTACAAGTAAATGGATAGCTGTCCTATTGCTACAAAGAAAGTTTAAAATTAAATACAGGTACATGTAGAAATATTATATGTACATGTACATATAAAGAGATCTCTCTCTCTCTCACCTTTCCATTGGCCAGCAGTGTGTTCATTCTTTCAAGACATCCTGAATCAAAGACATTAGACTCAATCATCCATTATGAATACAATCTTCTCATCGCGACAGCCAGACCGCCTCAGGACTGTACGTACACGTAGATCATCATCGAAATCATCAGTAGCCTGTATATTTATTATGAACCTAGGAGAAGAAAGAAAATTGCTCGATAAAACCATTCTTTCTTTTTCCTCTCTTTCTTTCTCCCCCTCTCTCTCCCACCTCAAATTATTTCAAACACTGACAGTCCGTTGATCCAAGCCTCAAACCTAGACAGTGTAGTCTTTCCAGCTCCACTGACACCAATAAGCAACAAATGACTGTAAAAGAGGCGGAGTCAATAAGGGGTGGGGTTAATAATAGGCCACACCTACCTGTTGCTGTTTGAAGATCCTGTCAATACAAAGGACATGATGAAGGACTTCATTAAAGAGAACAAGAGGAACGTCTAGCTCTTCCTCATAGAAAACCTTTAGCCTGGCCTGTACATAATCACGCAACTCCAACTCTTCCTAATCCACTAGTAGATAATCCTATAAAGAATGAAAGGCAAACATATACATATACATGTACATGTACATGTAAGTATTAAATATGGATGTACATATACATATACAATAATTTGGTGCATAATCATAGTACATACATTAGGGTTCTGCCTAGAATTGTTCCTTTTAAAATCATGAACACCATACTAGTAGACTATACTACTTGTATGTCCCAACTGAGCTTGGACCAAGAAAATCTGGGTATCCACTTTCATGGTGTGTTCTAGTTTCTATGCCAGCTCAATCAAGTATATATCATCACTGGGTCTGTTCTTCACTCCAGCCTGATTACTGGGAGAGAACTCAACTGCTGTAGCTAGGATCATCAGCACTCCTGTGTACCAGTACATGTGTCATTATCATTTATTAATTCATTCTCACTTAGTACAGGCATTGTCTTGGCTCTGGACAGCAGGTGGAAGCATAGTTTACTCATCTGTATCAATATATTAGTACTACAGTACCATACTTTACTGATTTATACCACCAATTACCTTGAGGGGCGGGGCATAACGGTAACCATGACAACACTAATGATAACTTACAACAATGATAGGGAGTCCGACAATGAATACCAACACATACCCACCTAAAACCTATTAATAACTATTAATAACTAGTAATTAAAGTGACCACACCTACCCAGAATGAGTTATTCTTATCAACAATCCAAGAGGGCAGTGCTATGCCAAATGAAGCAGCTCTTGGTCCATCAGGGTTAAAAACTTCTCCCAATTCTCCCTAGCCTCCTCTTGAGTCAAACTACATCAAACAATTA